TGTGACCAGGAGAAGCGGCTCCCTTGATGCTGAGATGCTCCGATTTAAAATAGAATAGAACGCTTTTATTAACATGTGCACACTCCTTGCCTGCTTAATACAGAGATGGGAGAATAATAGAATTAGCTGGCTATATTCACTGGTGAAGGATCTGGCTTGCTTCCAAGACTCTTTGTGTAGGTTTGGAAAAGTCCCTAGGAAACATGAATGAAGGCAGAATGTCATATTTGGAGAGAGGCTGTGCAAGCCCTTTCGAGGGTGGGGGGACCTGCCAATTTCCATGCCTGCTTCCATACTGTAGCTTCAGTGTTTGAAGCTTGCTGCGTTGTCACTGTCGGGGGTTGGCTCCTTCTTAAGCCCCTTCCTCTAAGATGGAGCATTCATTTCCTTTAAGGTGTCTTTGTTCATTCCACAGAAGAGGAGAAGCCCCCAGCTTCTCCTTCGGCATCTTTGTCTTCCTACCGCGAGGTGGGCAGCTTGTCCTGAAATTGGCACCGATCACAGAATTGTCCCTGAGTCTTTTCTCTTCAGCGAAGTCTCACGGGCTTCGCTACCGAACCATCTCGCTTCCTGAGATTCCCTCTGGCCTATTGATCCAGTCAGTCCTGCGGAGCCAGTCTTGGGCTCTCTGGGCTGAGCTATCCCCCTGTCTCCTTCTTGACTATCGAAGGCTTGTCTGCAAGCAAAAACCTTTCAGAAATGCTGGTGGGCTTCCTGACTTAAATAAGCTGGGTTGCTTTGCTTTCCTATGGCGAGCAGGTCTCAGTGGAAGGCCTGCAGAGCCAGGGTTCAATCCACGAGCCAGTCATTCAAGGGAGTCTTTTTCGAAGCCCCGTTATTATCATTATTACATTGCCTTTCTATACTGCCCAGAGCCGAAACTCTCTGGGCAGTTCACAAGTCACCCATCCAGATTTCACCCAGGCCCAACCCTGCTTAGCTTCCAAGATTTTACTGAGTGAGTGAATGGGACGTGGAGCTGGGTGGTGTTGGGAAAATTCAGATAAAGTCTGGCAGAAGAGGGTTGCTTATGCGTCTTTGTGTTATAAAACACCCGCACCCCTTTCTGAGGAAGCACCCCAAAATTCCAAGCCAGGTTCCTGTTTGGCATTTGCTGTTACCTTAAGAAGTGGGACCTGATGGCTTCCCCAAGAAGCTGCCAGGGCTGTTGTCGTGCCGATCAGTACGAGCTGGTCAGGCTGCCAGGTTAACAGCGTCGCCATCACCCCCATTCGCATGCCAAGACTCACAAAAATCACATGATCATTGTGTTGATCTCCTGCAATCAAACGCCATGATACTGAGTCCCCTCTGCAGACCCCTCACCTTCTTCTGGCTGTGTTCCCCTTCTTCCATCATCAACTGCCCAGCTGCTGGGCCCACGTGACTCAGAATCTATAAAGCACTCTGTGTATGTTCTAAAAGCTTGTAGTTGGCGGTGAGACCCACTACCCAGCAGCCTGCTGTCGTACGTAACTGCAGGGGGGCTGAGTGATCTCACCACGGTTCCAGGCGATTCGGTCTTCCCTGGTAATTCACTCTCGCCATTAATAAAGAGACTCGGACATGGCCAGCAGTGGGGTGTCCCGTCCTGTGACTCTCCATCCCGACAATGTGCTTAACCCAGTTCCAGTTTGGCTGCACAGTAAAGGCGCCGCGTTCTTGAATGCGCAAGGGGCATGTGGTTCCAGCAGGTCGTACTGGGCGTGGCACAGACCTACAGGTCAGCCTGGGCTTGACACAGCCGGACGGCTGGGGTGCCCATGGGCTGGATGCTCGGAGTGCCTTTGCACGCATCCGGGCTTCCAGACAGTGCAACATGGGAGCAGCGGCGTCCCTCTCCAGAGCAGCTCTCCAGCCTCGGTCTGAGATACCGTGTCCCTTCCCAGCTTAGGGGAGGAAATGTGTTTCCTTCTCTGGACAGTCTCAGGTTGTGCGGGTGGGGAAGGGAGGGAGGCTTTTGAAAAAGGAATCAACTCCGAGATAAAACTCTTTGGAACTTGCCTCTATCAGGCATTCCTGTGGGGTGGAGGCCGGCTTTTCAGACTCGCTTTGCATTCTCCCACAAGCTCCCGAGAGGCGAGGCAGTACCAGTGTTTATTTGACAGTGCTTTGCGGAAGGGATCGAGCCCTTGAGCCAAAGATGCTGAGTCTCTGCATTTCACTCCTGACTACAAGCCAAGCGCAGCGGGGCAGCGGTGTATTAGCACGTAGGAGAGGCATTTCAGAACGCACTGTGACAATTTTTTTCAGGTTTTGTACGTAACATATTTTCCCTCTCTCATTTGCAGGTGGCAAAAATGTGGCTGGGTTTTGTGGACTGGTCTGGGGGGCGGGGAGGGTCCAAACAGTTCCAGGAGCCACTGTGGCCAGAAGCAGAGCTTCTGTTTAAGCATTTGGGGGGGGGGGGAGGTACTGCAAATGCCTGCAGCAGCAAACTATTAAAAGACGCACAGAGGAAAGCTCCACCCTTTCACCAACCATAAGGGCCGCTCCCTCTCCCCAGGTTCCTGGTAGGGTTCATGGGAGCTCCATCCAAAACATGTATGCAAGGCTGGGTCTGATAATGTTAACAGCAAGCTGAATATGAGCCAGCAGCGTGATGCAGCGGCTAAGAAGGCAAACCCACCCCTGGGTGTGTGGCCAGAAACGTGGCTTCCAGATCTAGGGAGGTGTTGCTGCTGGTCTACACGGCTCTGGCGCACGCACACCTGGAGTACTGAGTCCAGTTCTGGGCTCCACATTATGGGAGAGACATAGCTAGGTTGGAATCAGTTCAGCACAGGGTCACAAGAATGGTAGCCGGGTTGGGAGGGATGACATATGAGGAGAGATTGAGGGAACTGGGTCTTTTCAGCCTGGAGAAGAGCAGTCTCCGAGGGGATCTTTTAGCAACTTATAGACATGTGAGGGGATGTGATGTGAAGGAGGGCCATGACCCTGCAGTGGAGGGCAGGACGCATTCCACTGGCGCAAAGCTCAAGGAACCGGGCTTCAGGTTGGGTGTCAGGAAGTCGTTCTGGACAATTACAACCCCTAGGACATGGAATGGGCTTCCACAGGAGGTGGGGGAGGCCGCATCAGTGAGGTGTTCAAGGAAAGACTGGATTTCCTCATGTTGGAAATTACATGAGTGGAGTTGGGGTCAGACTAGATGGCCCAGGAGGCCCCTTCTGACTCCATTTGTTCCTCTGTTTCTATAATCTATGCATTACATACACCAGAGACTCCTGCCAAGCCCTGTGTGTTTTGATGAGGTTCTTCACTGTCCCAGCATGAAAATAAAACCACCCACCTCCGTGTTCCCAGCACCTTGAGGGTGCACAGCCAGCGCTTCCCCAGTGCCTGCTCCCAGTTGCTCGGTGCAGCCTTATGGCCGGCTGAAGCCCGTTCCCTGCAGCCGGAGGGGTCGCCCTGCTGCTCTCCAGGCCCAGAGCTTCAGGTCAGCCTGCGCCTCCCCCGTTGACACCCCCCCAGCAAAGCCTCTGCTGCAGATGTGTGCTGTGCGAAGCCTGTCTTGCACGGAAGAGAGCACCCTGCGAAGGAGGGATGCTGGAGAGGCATGTGCAATGCAGGGAGGGATCATTAAGTGCAGGCGGGAACCAAAGTGCACTGGGAGAAAGGAGGCATCACGTTTGTGGGGAGCAGCATAGACGAGGACGGAGAGGAGGCTGAGGGAGGGGGGCTTTGGAGCAGGGCGCAGGATGAGATCATGGAGGGCTCTGAAGGGCAGCGCAAGGATTTTAATGCCTGGCGTGTGGTGGCGGCTGCCGAGACACGATGCGTCTGGGGCATCTGGAAGCAGCCGGTGGTGTTCATCGTGATTTTCTTCATGTGCTCTCAGAAGCAGCAAAGAGAGGGTGGCGATGAGGGAGCACCTGATAGGGCTGGTCGGGCAGGACGGCTCTGGAACGGGGGCAGGAATGATGGAGGGGCGAGAGAGAAGCAGAGTTGGGGGTGGGGAACGGGGCAGGATGGCAGGACTGCCACAATACCTGGAAAGGGCTGCTTGGCACTGGGGAGAGAGAGAAAATGCACCAACAGAAGCTGAAAGCTGAATTCTGTGACCTCGGCATTCTGGGAGAGCTGAACCTGCACCCGCTCACGACATGCCCACCATGTGCATGTCCAGTCTATCCTTGAACAGCCTCACCGATGGGGCCTCAACGACCTCTCGTGGAAGCCCATTCCATCCCCTGGGGGTCCTAACCATCACAAAGTACTTCCTGGCATCCAAACTGAACCTTGGTTCCCTGAGCTTTGCTCCATTGGAGGGTGTCCTGCCTTCCTCTGCAGGGGAGAACAGGTCTCTACCCTTCTCCATGTGACATCCCCTCACATACCTGTATGTCGCCAGCATATCCCCTCTGAGTCTCCTCTTCTCCAGGCTGAAGAGACCCGGTTCCCTCAGTCTCGCCTCATACCCCATCCCTGGAAAAGCAGGCATTACAGAAAAACACTGGGAAAAGCAGGCCTTACAGGAGACATTCAGCTCTCAGAAATGTTGCCCTGCTGTTTTGCCCCTGTTCTTTGTGCAGGCTGCTAGAAGCCAGCTGACAATATTTTAATCAAACAAAGAGGCGATGCTAGTTTCCCCTGCAGCTGCCTATTCAACTACCCCTGCTGTGTGGATAAATAGGAATGCTGGACTCCACTAGGGTTTATCCCATGATGCCGATGGGTGGGGAGTTCAGGAGAGATGAAAGGACGGAGTCCTTCACATGGCGCATCACGGAACTATGGCGTTCCCTTCCACAAGATGTAGCGATTGCCACCAGTTTGGATGGCTTTACTAAAGGGTTCGGTGATTCTCGGAGGAGAGGGCTGTCCGTGGCTCCCGAGGGAAGCAGTGTGCCTGCGTGCAGGAGCTGCTGGGGAGTACAGGCATCCGAGTCCTGTGGGCTGCCCCCTGCGTGAACAGAACGCCCAGTCGGTGAGGGCCTGGTCCGATGCCGTGCGGCAGTGCTAATCGATCGCTTTCTGCGTGTGCTTTGTCCTAGGGCTCCAGATGAGAACATGGCCAATGGCATTGAGGACCTCATCGGGATCCCCTTCCCCAACCACAGCAGCGACGTCCTGTGCGGCTTGAACGAGCAGCGGCACAACGGCCTCCTCTGCGACGTCATCCTCATCGTCCAGGACCAGGAATACAGAACCCACAAGTCTGTGCTGGCTGCCTGCAGCCAGTATTTTAAGAAACTCTTCACTGCCGGCACTTTAGCAGACCAGCCCTATGTTTACGAGATAGACTTCGTCAAGCCTGAAGCACTTTCGGCAATCCTGGAGTTTGCCTACACCTCGACGCTCACCATCACCGCCTCCAACGTCAGGCACATCCTGAACGCGGCCAAGATGCTGGAAATCCAGTGCATCATCAACGTCTGCCTGGAAATCATTGAGCCCAGCAACGAGGAGGAGGACAAGGAGGAGGAGGACGAGGAGGGGGAGGGGGAGGAGGAGGAGGAGGGGGAGGAGGAGGAGGAAGCAGAAGACTTTGCAGCCCAGAACCTAGCCGATGTCCAAGACATCGGCTGCCACCAAAGTCCATCCAAATCCGACCTTGCCGAAGAGGCCTACTCAGAAACGCCAGGCGGGTTCTCCGACCACTTCCCCGTCGGGAGCTCCAGTGGCTCTCTGGGCGTGATCAGAGACTTCTCCATCGAGTCTCTCCTGCGGGAAAACCTGTACCCCAAAACGAGCCTCCCCGAGCGGAGGCCAGCCCTGTCCCCCTTCGTGCCCGATCTCTTCCCGCGGCTTTGGAACGGGGACTGCGGCGCCTTTGCCCAAGGGCAGGAGCAGCCGGGGGAGAGCGGGCCCCTGGACTTGGTGATCCGGAAGAGGAAGATCAAAGAGGAGGAGAGGGAGGAGCCCCTGCCCACCCCCTTCCCCAACAGCCTCTTCAAGGACATCTTTGCCAGCAGCCCCGTGCACCACCTGGGGCACATCAAGGCCGAGAGCGACTACGGCGCCTACTTGAACTTCCTCAGCGCCACCCACTTCGGCGGAGTCTTTCCCCGGTGGCCGGAGGAGAGGAAGATGAAGCCCAAGGCGTCCCAGCAGTGCCCCATCTGCAACAAGATCATCATGGGCGCCGGGAAGCTGCCGCGGCACATGAGGACCCACACGGGAGAGAAGCCATACATGTGCACAATCTGCGAAGTTCGGTTCACCAGGTCTGCCGCATGCGTGGAAAAATGTGTCCGATGCTGTCGCGGGGATGGGGCGTGCTCCCTTTTTCCGTGCTGTAGATTGAGGACAGATTTTAAATGCTGTTCTTTTCCCGAGGAGGTCGCTGACGTATGTTGTTCTCACCATCCCCTGCGTGCTCACAACAACCCTGTGAGGCAGGCTGGGCTGAGGCAGAACCACCAAGTGAGGTTGCTCTGAGACTTCCTTGGGCACAGTGGGGTCTGAACCCTGATCGTCCTGGCCCTACTTTAACGCAGCCTCCCCGGCCTGAGATGTTGGAGCACAGCTCCCATCATCCTCAGCCAGCTTGGGTATCATAGTCCAATACATTTGAAGGGTGCTAGTATGCAGAAAGAGGGCTCGATTGGCATCCCTTTGGCTCCCAGAAGTCTGTCTACTGGGATTTGGGAATCCGCATTTCGCTCTGGCTGTGCCGCGCTCCTGGTCAAGAGTGTTATTATGCTAAGAGACCCTGCTCGTTAGCCATTAATTATTGGCTGCAAGAGCAGACCTGGGGATTTATTTGCCTCTGCAGTCCGATTTAACTCACAGAGCCTTTTGTGCAGTTTCGAAAGGGTTCTGCAGTGCAGTGCCAGGCCCACAGAAGATGCCGAGCCCAAAGCGGGAGCAGAAGGAAGGCAGGGAGACCTGACCCACCGTGGCTCCTGCAGGCAGGGCTGGGGCCATCGGGGCAGGGAAAGGAGACCCTTTGCCTCGAGGGTGCTCTTCTGGGTCTCAACTCTGATCCCCCTGGTCCCACTCTAATGCACCCTCTCCCCCGCCTAAGGTTGGACTACAACTCCCATCATTCTCAGACAGGCTGGGAGTGCCAAACCCCAGGGGAACTGTATCCCAGCAAATCCCTGAGGAAAGGGCCTTCTGACAGCCTTCTCTAACCAGCTGCCTTCCAGGTGTGTTGGGGCTAAAACTCCCATCATCCCTAGCCAGGGGGGCCAAGGGGGCCGGACGGAATGAGACTACCTTATGAATGGATGAAATTGACTTCATGTGCAGAGTGGGCAAAAGGGGGTCAGAATCCACTAATTTGCAGACGGGCAGGTTTTACAATGCCAAGTCAAGCTGTGGGTTATGAAAGGGGAAACACTGCACCTGCTGTGCATGGTCTTGGGACTGTCACTTTTCTTTGCATCCTTGTGCTTCTCTCCTGTGAAGCACGCATTTTAGTTGGCCATCTTTGACCAGGCCCTTGCACAAGCCTGCTGGCCAGCTGCAGCATTTTGTCTTAGCACCCCTGATCTTCCATAAGTCAGTCTTACCTATGCAGGTAAGACCAGCGAACGGCTCGTTCAGCCTGGGTCTTCCTCTCCACCCACCTGGCCTTATGCCCCTATTGTGGGCCGATCGCCCCAGTAAGAGGAAAGACGGACAGGAGGACAAGATCCCTACCATGTCCCGAGCCAAACCACCAGTAACCGCTGGCTGGTATTGTTACGTGTGCTGCAAGTGTCCCGTATTTTGCCCCCGCCCCTTTTGCCTTCCGCCCCACCCACCCTGGAAGGTGGCCCCCGAGGACTCCCCAGGTCCTCAGCCTGCAAGAGCTTCTTCACCCTCGCTTTACTGGAGCTTGAACTGGGCAACCCAGAGACACGTGCTGTCGGGAGCTTTCCCCTAGACAGAGCAGTGACTCTGAGAACAACTGCATGAACATTAGCACCCCCTAATTTAAACTCCTTGCAACAGGATAAACACATGTATGTTCACCTTCCGTGAAAACAGACTTGGCGAGCTAAAGTATTTTCAGGAGCTGCTCTAATGTTCAGGCAGCACTGAGGGGTGGGTGGGGGGGGGAGTGGATTCAATCCTACAAATGGAGCGCCCACCACAACTTCATGGGTGTTCACTGACTTGAGCTACAGGAGAGGCTGTAGCTCTGGCCATGAACACCTGCCCTCAATTCCAGGCATCTCCAGGTGGGGCTCAGAACAAATTTTGCTCAAGAGCTGCTGCCTGTCAGTGTCAAGAACTACTGGAAAGCAGCCTCCCCGCCTTCCGTACTGGGGTCCTGTCCCAGCAGTTGGCTTGACTGCAACTTGATGACCATCTGGAAGGCCTGCCATGAGCCGTGGAAGTTTCTTTGGGACGTAGGGTTAGCCTCAGGGTCGCTGCAAAGGAGCTTTTCCTTTGCCGGATGAGCTCCAGATGTTTCAGACTGGAGTGGCCATCAGCCCCAGCTGGCCTGGTGGAAGATGGAATCCAAGACCATCTGGAGAGCCTCCAGTTGATGAAATGCTGCTCCAACAGATAAAACCGCCCCGGAGTTGTGCCTGGTTCTCCAGTCAGGTTAGACGGTTCCATTGGGTAGGAGGGTTCTGTGTGGATAAAAAGGGCCGTGATAGAGGCAAGGACAGACCCATACCCTTCCCGGGCTGGTAGCGACTTGTGGGTGGGACTGTTCACCAATCCATTCTGAACCCAGGCAGGTGATGGCTTTTTCCTGGGCCACCCAAATGGCAACATACCATTTGCAAGCGAGCAAAATGAGTGTGTCATTCCTGGCACACACATGGTGACCTTACGCTGCAGCCAGAATCTTCTTAGGCTGGACGAGGCTCTGCGGAGGCACAGAACTGCCATACTGGTTGGGATTTCCAAGGGCGGCTCCTCCACAAAGGCCTTGCGGAGATGGGAGGGGTGGGGAGGGGCTCTCTTCCCCTCTGTATGTATGTTTGTAAGTATATATGTACGTGTATACATGGCCGCCTTTAAGGGCCACGCGTCCTTGCTCTGTCTTCATATGTAAGAGAGAAGGAGCAAGCAAACGATCTCAAAGCAGTTCTTTACACAGCCAGAAGTTGTTTTCATGTCTAGTATTAATTCTAAAAAGAAACAAAACCAAGGCGGGGCATCTCACCAGGCAGTTGGAGCAACAGCTGGCTTAGCCCTGGGTTTCTGGCCAGGACGTGTGCAGATCCGGTGACCCTCTCCCCCCCCCCCGAAAAGAGACCTCACGGAACTGGGGAAGGCCATCTAGATGACGGCAGGGCTGGGGCAGATCCTGTCCATGAGCGGACGGAAGCTTTTCAAGCTTTTCAGGTTATGCTTTGACCGAAGAAGGTCCTGCAGCTCTCAGCATGCCCTGTCGTTTTTCTTCTGCCCACCTGTGCACACGATTGTACCAAGGGGCACCGTCTGAAGCCCTTCCAGTATCATCAAGGGGGTGCAGGACTCTTCAGAGTCCCAGCACCGAGTCCCAGGGCCAAGCCCTCTGCCCTGCCTCCAGCAGCAGACTCTCCAAAATGCTAGTATGCCTGGGAATGGGGGACATGGGTGTGCTGGGGTCATGGGGGGAAGAGGTTAGGGCCATCTCGGTATGCCAGTTCCGGATGCTGCCCCATCCTCTTCCCCCTCCCTGCCGACACTTTATCCAGACAGCCAAAAATGGCCATCTAGATACAATGCATGGGGTGAGAAATCCAGGCTCATTTCGCTCCAGCTGCTGGATGCACGTCAAATTCCCAGTCGGGAGGCTCCCTTGCATCGAGGGAATTGCCCTTCATCGCAAAAAGTCAATTATGCGGGTCCGTTGTTGACTGCACACTGCCAAGCACCCGCTGCCCATCCGTGTCACTGCTTTGACTTGGAATTCAAGAGTTAAAAGAGAGGAGCAAAGAGTTTCCACTCGCTGCGCAGGCGTAACAGCACTGCAGCTTCCATCGTTCCTAGCTGGCTGGGGATGATGGGCATTGCAGCCCCATGCATCTGGAGGAGACAGGTTGCGGGGGGGTGGGCTGAAGTGGAGGTTTGTGGACTTTAGGTCTATGATTTAGCAGTGAGTTTCAGGGAGACACAAAGAAATGCTTCTCTGTTCATCATAGAATTCATGTGCTGACTTCACTGCTCCAGGGTGGAGTGACGTCCTTGTTCTTAGGTCCTCAGGAACCAGGGAGGGGTTCTGAAAGATCCTGGAATGATGCTAGAAGCATCCCTGGAGGGAGCAAGAATCTACCTGGGGCTGCATGGAGTCTACAGCTTCAGGCCAACCTAGTGTGTTTGTGTGGAAGGGGCTGCAAAAAGTTGTGTTATACCAAGGCCTTGTGCTTTCAAGGCACTGATTGAGAGCTTACGATTCTTCACTCACGGTAGTTTGCAGGCACTTTGCAAGATGTTGCCATCTTCCTCCGCAGCATTTTTGGACCTTCTCTGCAGGAGGCCTTTATTTTGTGTCCTGGTGCCCTCACTCGCGGAAGTTTGAAGGGCCTCCCCCTTGTTTCCAGTCATTTCCACAAGGTTTTTGAGAGTGAGGAAAGCCCACTATTAAGTTTTATTTGTTTGTTTGTTTGTTTGTTTGTTTGGAGTGCTTGTATGCCACCCCATTTGCATAAGCCTCAGAGCGGCTTCCAACAAATAAATAACAATATACAAAAATATACAGAATTGGAAACATCCTGGAGTTAGATAAAAGCAATAAATAATTTAACAATCAATTAAAATAACATTTAAATAAAAAGGTCTTGGCCTGGCGCCGAAAAGCAAATAATGATGGCGCCAGACGGACCTCTCTGGGGAGCACATTCCATAGGTGGGGCGCCACCGCAGAGAAAGCCCTCCTCCGAGTACTTACCCTCCTAATTTCCTTCACAGAGGGTTCCCGGAGAAGGGCCTCCTCCACCGATCTAAGGGGGCGGGAGGGCATATATGGACGCAAGCGCTGCTTTAGATAACCAGGTCCCAAGCCGTTGAGGGCTTTATAGGTGATAACCAGTCCCTTGAATTGGGCCCGGACTTCAATGGGAAACCAGTGAAGCTGACGAAGGACTGGGGTTATATGAGAACAACGCCCAGTCCCCGTCAGCAACCTGGCTGCTCTATTTTGCACCAATTGAAGTATCCGGACCGTCTTCAGGGGCAGCCCCATGTAGAGCGCGTTGCAGAAGCCTAATCGGGAAGTTATCAATGCATGCATCACTGTTGCCAGGCAATCGTCCAGGTTTTAAACTGGAAGAAGAGATGCTGGAAAAACTGC